AGCCGAAGCCTGCTATGGGTGCAAGATGGAGGGCCTCCCGCGTCGTGACCAGCCCCAGCACAGCATGCACGGGGACCACCAGGTGCCATGGGGAAGGCGCTGGTCATGGCGGCACAGTCAGTGTGGGGACAGCCAGGGGACTTGCCAAGGGTGGAAACGCCAGACCCTGCACCCCAGCTTGTTTGAATCGTGGGGCTGGCCCAGACCCTCCTCTACTTCCTCAGCTCCTGAGTGTCCTCTGTGCTCCCTGGGGGAAGCAGGCCCCGCAGGTCCACCACCTCCCTCCTGGTGATGAGCCAGGTACCTCCCTCAGACCCTGGCCAGGCTCCGATGCTCTTCGTGATCCCTTCCGTGGCACTTGGAGGCAGGGGAAACGGCTGCCCCCAAACCCCGCCTGCCCTCCTCGCCCGTTGGCCAGCAAAACCCCCCCATCAGCTCCTCTGAATTTAGCACCAGTGGGGCCCATGGCAGCCAGCTCAGCCCTTTGTTCATCGCCCCCCTCAGACCCTCCACCTCTGCACCTCCTTCCTACACCTTTGATGCCTGGGTCCCCTGAAGCCACCTCATCTCTAGAAAGCATAGAAGTCCTCCCCTCACTCTCAGAGACAGCAGAGCACCTGCATATAGCTCTGTCCCTCCTGTCCCCTGGGTCACTCCAGGCATGACCCTGAACCCAGGTTGTGCAGAACAGCAATTTTGTCCCTGAGGCCACTGCTAGCCCACCTTGCCACCATCCCTCAAGGCACCTAAAAGCTGCACATTTATTAAGCATCTGCTGTATGCACACATTACTTCAAGCACTCTGCTTACATGGCCTCTCAGTGTTTACAACAGCCTTGAGATGTGTCGGTGCCACTCTCCCCTTTGTGCCGCTATCCCCATTATACAAAGAGGAAACTGAGGCACGGTGAGGATAGGGCACATGTTGAAATTGCAGAACTTGAAAGTGGCAGAGCAGGGATCCCATAGCTGGACCACATGGCCTTCTCTTTACAGTGGCCGTGGTCTTCGTGGCCAGACGTCCCAGGCTTCTCTGCGGTCACTGCCCTTTATATTATTTCCCCCAAATCACAAAAGCCACTGCCCACATCTAGGACCAAATTCCTTCACTCCAAAGATTTTTCTGAACATACGCACAGTAATGGAGCAACAGTGAGCAAAAAACCTAGAAGTCCTTGCCCCCCATGGCTGATATTCTAATAGATAAGAAACAAGTAAAATGTTGTATTTTATAACACGATAGAATATGATACATGATAAAGGCTGTGGGGAAAATGAAGAGAGAAGTGAGAAAGGGTTGTTGAGTCTGAGTGGCTTTTAATATTAGATTAAATAGGAGTGGATAATTTTGCTCTCTTTTTTTCCCTTTGGCTTTTTTTTATCCTCTTGTTAGAAAAAGCAACAAGGCTGTGTATATTGTCCCATTATTACCATAATTTTCTGTAAGCTTTTCAAGAGTAGGACACAGTGTGTGTTGGGCTTGCTACTGTTGTTACCAGCCCTTGATCCTTAGATTGAGTGGAGTGATATGCAATCTGGGGCTTTGCCTGCAATATCCACAGACTGCCAGTAGGTGTCAGTAGGAACATATGTGTGCAACCCAGTGGGAAGGGCTGAAATCTCCAGAACTGAGGGGTTGGGAAACAGGAATAGCTTTCATGTTTAATGCAATAGCAAAACACCCCAGAAGCATATCAATTAAGGAAAACAAACAGCACTGCTCAGAGCAAAGGAGAAGAAAACACAGATAAGCTCCTGTGGAATTGAATGTGGCACCCAGCCCTGATTAGCCTGACACTGCGGCTGGCTGACTTAGGGCCCTGTCTGGCTGCCAGGACCAGGAACACACTCACAGAAGCTCAGATAAAGGAAGGTTTGTTATCAGCACACAGAAGGCTCTCAAAGAGCCCAGATGCAGGAAGTGCAGCGGGCCTCCGGGAACCGGAAAGCTCTCTGTCAACCCTTCTCTCTGGCCCAGCCAGATCTTGTGTTTCTCTCACTCGGTCAGGTCTGGCGTCTTCTTGAGGCTGGCTTCTGCAGCAAAGGCCCTTGGTTAGAATTCCAGCCATGCCTGGACACCTTTGAGGGGCTGTAGGGCTCTGGGGCCTGATGCCGCCTGACTGACTCCCTGTACAGGGCTCTGGGGTCACAGCCTTGATTTCCTTTGCCTGGACTGGCAGGATCTCACTAAAGCCCCTCCCCCGAGACGAAGTGTCTAGAGTCAGTGTGTAAAACTGGCCACCCACCTGCCCTCTTTGCTTTCCACCTGAGAACCAGGCTCCAATTTCATCCCTCTGTCTGTAGCCCAAGCCGACTAATGGCTTTGTGGATGGAGGGCTAGACAGAAATCAAGGGCGGAAGGTGTTCTGTGTTTCCCTCCTCTTTAGAGATTCATAAAACCTCCCCTTGGCTGTGACTCTGTGGCCCCCTCCCCACCAAATTCCAGTTCCACCACCTCTAACCATCATCCACCTGGTTTTTCTCCCCAGGTGAGCCTGGCCAGCCTTGACTTGGAGGCCCCGCTGACCTTGGGCTTGAACCTCTCACGCCTGGGCCCGGCCGAGCACATCCTGGAGCTGCGGCCAGCGCTGCAGAGCCTGGGAGGCCGGGTCCGCTATGTCATCGCCCATGGCAACGAGCAAAATTTTTTCCGCATGCATCACCTCCATGGCCTCAGCTCCCTGCACCTGGGGCGCCGAAGGCCAGGGCCTGGAACCTACCAGCTGGAGGTGGTGAGCGTGGCAGGGCCTTGGAGCACCCGGCCAGAGGGGCAGCCGGGACCAGGGCTCCAGGCTTTGCGGCTGAAGGTTTGGCTGCAGCTACTATAGGTTGGCCCAGGCCCCTTCTGCAGCCACCTCTCCCCGCCTCATTCCACAGGGTGTGGGGGAAACTGATGGAGCTCTGTCCGCTACACCGCAGGGAGCCCCTGGTGACAAGCCAGGGTCTTGACAGGCCTCAGCGCCCCCATGCTGTCCTCCTCTCCAGAGGCGGGAGGTTCTGGAACTGGTAAGGGTTCATCCCTGGTGGCAGTGCTGACCAGGTGGATCCCCGAAACTCAGGAAGAGTGACATGCTACGCTATGACCTCACAAGATGAGCTCTCCCCAACATTCAGTCTTTCTGGGAGGCAGCTGGAGGCTGCGGCCTGCACCTTCACCTCTGACACTGGGGTCAAGCAGGGCTCTGTGGTTCACTGTATCCAGGCACCTCAGGCTAAACATCTGCACTGCACCTGGACTCAACCCCCAGGGATCGGTGGGACAGGGGACAGCAGCTGAGGTGGGCATGGGGCTCATCCCTCCAAGCAGGAGGGCCCAGAGGGCCCCAGCTGAGGTTGGTGATGTGCAGCCATGTTCTTGTACCCCGGGATTCTAAGGGTGCTTTATATCAGAATGGAGAAACAATAAAGTTATTTTGGGTTACTTCTGCCCCCTTAGCGTGTTCTCAAGGTGAGTAGGTGCTGCAGGGCCACGTGGAGAACTGGAGGCTCTGGGAGGACAGAAGCTGTGGGAAGGACAAGCTAGAGCCCAGGGCTCCCAGGAGAAGGCGTGTGGATGAGAGGTGGGCAGAGACCACCTCCATCTGGGGGTGGGGGCGCAGTCCACAGATAGGCTCTGCCAACTTCAGGCCTGTGTATTTGGTGCCATGTGAGCCCTTGTGGGTTCACCAATGCTGATGAAAATGACTCATTTCCAGAACACACACTGCATCCTGGGCACTGTTCTAAGTATTTTCCAGTTATTGATCCACTCGTTACAACTTCGTGGAATAGAAGCAGTTACCCTCATCCCTGTTTTGCAAATTGGAAAACTGAGGCTCGGGGAGATCGAGCAACTTGACTGAGGTGACTCCAGGTTTCAGGATGCAGAGCCGGGCTCCAACTCGGGCAGCTGTGCCATCACCCACTGCGCCACCCTGCCTTGGCTCCAGGTTGGGCCAGATCTAGGAGCGCAATGCCTGGTATTCCCGTCCCGTGAACACAGAGTCAGCGTGTGCGTGCGAACATCGCAAGAGTGTATTCTGTCCCCACAAGCTAGTGTGAGGCAGGCAGTGTTCTCGCCCCACCTTGTGGGGGTGGGGAGAGCTGGGGCTCAGGGAGTTTGTGGAATCTGCCTGCATCCCCCACAATCGTGTAGTGGGGCTGGCATGTGACCCAGGTTCCTCCAAGTCCAGCCCCTGGCCCCAAACCAACCCTTGTCCTCTGAGAGGGCACCTTTGCTTTTTGCTCAGAACGCTCTCTGTCATGGTAGAACCAGCCTGCCTGAGGACAGCACAGTTGGGTGGATCGAGTTTGTGTGGTGACCTGGATCCCAGAGTGTGGCTGGCCCTTCCTCCCGCACAACAGCCACTGGGCTCTGTCCTGGCCGGGGCTGGGTCACCCAACTTATCAGGGCTTCTGAGCGCCCATCAGAGCTCACAGAGGCTTCACCCATTAGCTAGTCACTGCAGCCCTGTGACCGGGCAGGGCAAGCCCGTGGCCCCACTTGACAAACCGGGAAGGAGGCAGCAAGAGAGCGAGTGGTTTGCTCAAGGTCACCAGCTGAACCCGCACCCAGGCCTGCATCTGGCCCGTCCAGAGCTCGGCCCTCGGGGCTGCCTGCTCTCCTGGAGTGAGAGGCGATCACTGGGATTCAGCGCAGGCTGGGACTGGTACCCCATAATAACACGTGACAAAGACAAAAATGATGTCCCACCACAGGTTTATTAAAAAATAACTCGAGTGGTGTCCATGGGCAGACTAGAGCTTCGCAAAGACCCCGAGGGACACAGGCATGTGATAGGGGACAAAAGGCTGCAGGTGGGTCACGTGCCTTGATGATGCTCTCTAAGAACCATTGGCTGGGGCCGGTTCTGGCCGTTGAAGAAAACAAGGGGCTTGAAACCAGCTCCCCCGTCCCTGCACCTGAGGAGCGGGAGGTGGCAGGGCCTGCAGGGCGACGGCGCGGGGAGGGGGCTCCAGCCCATCTCACACGGGTTGGTCCCACCCGGCGATGTGCGGGCTCACGACCCTGAAGGAGGGATCGGAGAGGGTGGCGGGTGGTGGGCAGTGCAGTGCAGCTGAGGCCCCTGGGCTGGGTCAGTGTTGGACACCTAGGACCCTCCCACGCGAGCCTGTGGAGCAGCCCTCGTTCTGACGAGCCCAGAGAGGGTCACATGACCTGGGTCCCTACCTGGATTAGCTGGTGCTGGGAGCAAGGCATTCTTGCTGCTTCTGGTGTGACCTCTAGGCTGGGACAGTAGAAGCCTGGAGGTTTTAGAGCTCAACTTCCCCCTAGAGTGACAGCCTGTGAGAAAGATGGAGAGGGAAGTAGTTAGGAGAGTCCCCAATCCCTTTGAGCACCTGGATCCAGCCGAGCCTGGAGCCATTGGCTGGTCATTTGAGCCCATCAGTGTCCCATTTGCTTGACTTCTCATCTCTTGCAATCGAAAGTGTTTTGACTAAAAGAACTGCTCGTTCGCCCAGCCTCCCACTCCCCAGTAACAGGCTTCCTGTGCGGGGGGGCGTGGGGGGCAGCTGTCCGCATCCTGGGCTGCAGTCCCCTCCTGGGGGGGTGAGAATCACAGGACCGGAAGCAGGGAGGGGAGGCGCCCTGGATGCTGGGCTGGGGTCTCACTCACTTCGGAAGGCTTTGTGCATGCTTTGGCGATGCCTTAGAAGGTCCTTGTTCCGAGCATCCAGAAGCCTCATCCCATCTTGTACCCACTTGGCCTGTGGGTTTCCACACACATTCAACTTTTTGTGAGGGAAGTGGAATCTGTGCAGGTGGGAGGCATCCAGGTTAGTGTGCAAGCAGGGAGCAAAGGGACAGGTGAGCTCCCGCCCACCCCAGCGCCCACTGCCCCACTCACATCACGGCAGACAGGTTACAGCTCCTGCTCACGTCCTGGCAGGAGTAACTCCGGGCGTGCTGCAGCACCTGCAGCTTAATGTGGCGGTTGTAAGCCAGACAGCAGTCTTCGAAGACGCCTGCAAGCGCACAGCCACCCGGGCTCACTCTTCTGCGTGCACCTGTGTGGCTGCATGTGCACTGCGTGTGCGGGCATGGCCACCAACGTGGGTGCCCGCGACCTTACCATGACTGTCCCAGGCCCTGTGGAGGCTGAGGGACAGCCCAGGTGATAAGGAAGCCATGTAGCTCACCTTTGGCCCTTGCTATGGGGACAGCTGGCAGGAATTGGAGAGGGCCTGAAGGACCTGGCTGGGAAAAGGGCCCAGGACCTAAAAATGGGGAACCAAAGCCACTTCCACTCCCGCAAGGGTGACAAGAGGGGCAATACCCTGAGCAGGGGCCAGAGGCCACCGCTCCCACCTGCATCCCTCCTCGTGAAGTGAGCGGTTTGGCCGCCCGCTGCGCCTGAGGTCCTGGCTCGTGCTCCAGGCTGGCCCTCCTCCATCTACATCTATCTCAGCTACCCCCTCCTCTCTGTCCCCATCAGAGTAACCACTCCGAGTCACCTGACCAGAGACCGGGAGGTCTCTGTTCGTTTATTTACCCCTTGGTTGAACAAAAGCATGTAGAGTTCCTACTTAGAGCTAGATGTTTTGACAACCAGGGGACTTGGACCAGTGTAGTCATTGTGATGGGGGACTCAAGCGTTGGAAATTTTTAGTTTTAAATAATAGTTAACAAGCTCCAAAATGAATGCATGTAAAAAGCTGACTCCAGCGGACCATAAGCAATTCGACCTTTGTGCCCCAGGGGGACTGCAAGCAATCAAGGTGGCTTCTGAGCCATGGTGCTCCAGGGAGAGACATCCCTGCTGCCCAGGACAGAGGACACAGGACATAGATTAAGAATCGCCAGCCAAGGGATGAAAGGATGCTCGGAAACTGCCGGACTGCAGCTCTTATCTGACTAATGCCTTTCCTGAATTCCAAACCCCTTACCTACATTTTTTCCTCCTTATAAAAAAAAGGCTGGCTTGAAATAAAATGTAAGACAGTCTTTGAGGGTGCATAACCCGCCGTCTTCTAGGGTCGCCGGCCATCTGAGAGCAAAGCGCCCGTGAAGACTCAATCCCTGTCTCTGCTCACTGGTCCCGGTAGTGGCAGGCAGCACAGTCCTGACATTTCCGAGTTCAGCTGGGGATGTTCTGGCCTCGTGGGACACTGGGAAGCTGATCTACGCTGGGAGGGGGGCGGAAGCTCAGGGACCCACCCAGAGGGGAGGTGCTCGGAGGAGGTGCTGACGACAAAGGGGCTAGAAGCCCAGGATGAATTGATGCAAGAGACAGGCAATGGCCTTGGCGTCCCCTGGGGTCTGTTCCTTTGCTGACCCCTGGGGGACCACGGCTGAGCCCCCAGAGTGCACAGGGGATGGAAGGGGCGGAGAGGAGAGCTCAAGTGGCCCCAGAGGGCAAGGGGCAGTGGAGTCAGACGGATGCTGGGCTAGTTTCAGGCAGGCAGTCCCTGGGGCTGGGGGCCTCTCTGCCCCCACGGTCCAAGGGCCAGGGCTTGGCCTGGCTGCGGGAACAGGTCTCTGATAGCAGGACAATTGGAATGAAGCCCAGCCCTTTCTGGGGCAAAGACTAAGGTCTGCTAGGGGCCACAGGGAGTGGGCCTCAGACACAATGAGGGGTGGGTGGGGCAGGCGGGTGGGGCCGCGGGACCTCGACTCTGCCCTGCCAGTTGCTGGGGTTCACAGAGACAGGAGACACCATGGTAGGGCTCTTGCATGCCCCATGGAGCACTGCATGCCCAGAACTGGCTTTTAGTCACTAAAGTCCTCAAGTGCCTAATCTAAGGAGAGGAGGGAAGAGATTTTCTGTTAATAATGATAATAGTAATTGTTTCTGGCAGGCAGGAGGCCACGGGTTTTGCAGGCATCGGCCTGTCGGACCTCCACGGCCCCTCTCTGCAGTGGAAATCCAGAGCCCCGCTTTGCAGAGGAGGAAGCTGAGGCCTGAACAGACGGAGCAGTGATTCTCTGCAGGGTCAGATCACTACAGCATGTCCCTGGTGGTAAGGGGCGAGGCCACCCCTGGGAGCCACCCTCTGCTCCCCGCGTTCCCTGGACTGCCTAGAGTCCCTGCAGGCAAGACCTGGGTCATGGACTGTGGTGGAGGCACCACAAGGACGCTGCAGCTGCATGGAGCTGCACAGATGCCAGGAGTTTCTGCATGTCTGGGAGCGGGGCAGCTGCCAGAGAATTCAGCGGTGGAGCTGGGCTCAGGCTTCTGGAGGAGGGGGTGGGAGAATGGGCGATGCACAGGAAGATGAAATCCAGGGAGAGGAGGTGTGGCCCGAGACCGTACCTTGTGCTTGGACAGCAGGGGCCCAGGTGCCCACGAAGCAGGCCACCAGATAGGCCAAGAGCCACAGGTTCATCGTGCAGCTGCTCTTCCTCCTCCTGAGCCTTAAAGGAGAATGGGGGGAGGTAGGAGGGAGAGGAGGACCCCAAATAGACAGCGGCAGGCACTGGGAACACCCCTACCCCATCTCAAGCCAGATCCCCCTGCAGGGGAGGCAGGTAGCACAGGGTGAGGACAAGCCTTTGCTGAGCGACCAGCTGCTGGCCTCAGTTGCGGTGGGGAGGGGAGCACTTACCCAAGCCTGTGGGGTCCCTGGTGACTCTGGAGTGTGTGTCCACTAGCCCACAGCCTTCCCCACTTTATAGATGGAGCCCCGCCCTGCCACAACCCGCCCTCCTTCACCCTCCTACTTTTTCCCCACCTGCTCTCCCATTCCACCCCCGCCCCCCCCCCCCCCCACTTCTCCTGCCCCACCCTCCTCTTTTTTCCTTGTGTCTCTTTCTAGCTCCTCTATCGAAGGTCAGGATACACCTGGAGGGAGTTAGGAACAACTGGGGACAAGAGGACTCAAATCGAGAAACAATGCCTCCCTCGACTGACTACTCAGATGTGTGTGGAACAAGACAGTGGGCTGGCTCCCTCTCGGCATAATATGCTGAAAGATGGATGCCGAAGGACAGCCCAGCCTTGACCTCGACAAGGCCACTTGAGGGCTGGCTACCCTGTGACCCCCTTTGTCTTCCTCCCCCATCCCAGCCCTCTCAGCCAGCACCCTGCTTTCTCCCCAGAGGGCCCTCTCTGCTCCTTCTCCAATCCCTCTCCTGCAGAACAGCTGGGTGGTTTCCTGTGGACAGGTCTCAGGGTGCCTAGAGCCCAGGGGAGACTTCCCCTGTCCTCCCTGCTCCCAAGCCACCCCTGCTCCTGGGGCCCTGGCTTCATCCTGATTTTCTCTTTCCACTCAATGTGGCAACTTGTGTCGCAGAAACCCCCAGGTGTTGAGGACAGAAATCTATAGAAACAGAAAGTGAAATGAGTAGCTGCGACGGAGTGGGAGGAGGGGAGAATGAAGAGTGACTGCAAAAGTGTTTTCAGTTTTGTTTTTGTTCTGAAATTAGATAGGTGTGCTGGTCCAGTGACTCCGAGAACGCAGTAAGTACCGCAGAATGGTCCACTTGCGATGTATTTTCCCTGAGTATTATCTTGCGAATGATCCGAACAAAATTTTATCCACAACAAAGAAATGCTCTGGTTTTGGAAGAAAAGCCAGTCGGGAGCCCCAAGCAGTCAAGCTAGCAGTAGTCAAATCTCCTAGTAGGCGTTTCTTCTTTCCCTGGGTCCTGTGGCGAAGCCCGGACAAGGATGTAGGAAGGGCGGGCAGGGGGAGGTAGGGGAGAGGGAGCTGCAGAGAATTCACAACTGACTGACCGCTTTCAGCGTTTAACTTCTAACTTTTCGTTTCCCGCACCCTTGGGTGCAGACCAGTCGGGGTATTTATAACAGCCTGTACCCCTTTTTCACCTCTCCTGCTCCACGAGAAGCCAATGGTGCGGGGCTCCTCGCCCACTGCCTAGGCTGAGCAAGGCTGGTCGCGGCTTGGCCTTGGGGACCAGGCTTGGCCCGGTACCGCGAGCCGGGCAATCGGAGGAACTTAACCCTGGGGGCGGGGCTCGGTGGAAAGAGGGATTTTCTGGGTGGGGCTTAGGCTGGCCCCGCCCCGGCCCCTCTAAGGCTGTGGCTGTTCCCCGGGTGGGCGAGGCCGGGCCGGGACGCTGCTCCGCGTGGCTGCGGGCGTGGGGACGCGGCGTGGCGAGCCCGGGCCGGTCTCCGGCCCGCTGCCCCCGCCAGTCCCGCCGGTGGGCAGCGGCCAAGACGTGGAGTTGCCCAAACTTAGCCAAGGTCCCAGGCGAGGGAGTACCCGTTCCCGCCCCCGCGGTCCCGCACGGTTTGTTCCTCCACAGCCTTAACTTCTGGGCGCAGAAACTGAGGAGGAAGGTAGAGCAGACAGGGACTGGCGCGTTTATGGGCTCGGCTCAGACCCAGGTGCCCGCGCGGGAGACGCGACGCTCAGCGCGGCGGGGCCCTGCCTGAAACCCGCCCGCTGGAGGCCCTCAGGATAAACCGCCTCCAGCAGGGGACCCTCTCTCGACACGTGTGAAGTGAGCGCCACTGTGGGGACAGAAGCCGCCTCCTGCTCCCTGGTCACCAGCCCTGACAACGGGGCTGCAGGGGGCGGTCTGCAGCCTGGGGCAGAGCGCGCCCAGCGGCTGACTGCGCCCCACGGCCTGCGGGCGGTCGTAGGGCGCGGGCGGCGGGCGGAGCGGCGCTCTGCCCTGGGAGGCCGAGCACTGCTCCCGGGCTCGCGCAGGCGGCCCTGCGGTGGCGCAAGGTGCGCGGTGGGCTCTGTGAGAGGAACACCAGCTCTCGCTCCTCTACAGTGAGCTCCTCTGCAGGCTGAGCGAAGGCGCACTCTTTCTCTGCTTGAGGACGCTCTCGGGTGCTCAGTGTTGGCCCACCTTACAGAGGAGGAGACGGCTGGTCAGGGAGACCAGGTCATTTCTCTCTTTTGGCCAGGAAAATCAACTTTTCTTAAATACTGTGAAGGAAGGAGGGACAATCCCCTCCCTAAACGGGGAGGGCCATTGAGCAGAAGCCGAGAAGCCTTTCCTGATGAAAGACACAGGGGAAATGTCCTGACGGGTGTGGCTCAGCTGGTTGGGGTTCGACTCCGGGTCGGGGCACATGCCTGGGTGCAGGATCAGGGTTCTTGCGAAAGGCTACGGATCGATTCCCTCTCACACTGATGTTTCTCTCTCTCTCTCTCTCTTTCTCGTCCCCTCCCCCTTTCTCTAATACTAAAATAGATAAAATCTGTTTTAAAAAAAGAACACGGGGAAGTACTGCCAGCTGAAGTAGGGGTCCTTGTGTAGTTGCATTTGCATATCCGATCCCCCGCGTCGCCGGGCGCTGCCTACAGCCTCCTGCACTTCTGCCGCCTCGAGGACCCCGTCAGTCAGCTCAGGGGCCTCGGAGAGAAGCAGCTAGGGCTTTCTCTCCCCTCCTGCCCACCATCGTGCATCTCTTGGGGAGACAGGTGTCCTGTCTGCCGGCCTCGACCCCCCTTATGCCCAGCCGCCTCTTGCTCTGGTCCAGATGCACAGTGGTTGCTGAGCAACTGAAGCAAGGGGGAGAAAGGGATGCCTTGCCAGCTTCTAGGCTGACTTTCAGGATCTTGCTTTATACATTGTTCCTGTGTGACCCCTTTTCTTGTATTCCCAATGTGGTTGGCCCTCATCCATCCTGCAAGGCCAGCTTTGAGGGCTTCCCTCCCCAGGCTACCCAGCCACTTCTGTGCTCCAGGGAGAAGCCGCACTGACAGCCAGGGCGGGGGGACTCCGGCTGTTGGCTCTGGTTGTGGCCTTGGCCTCAGTTCTTGTGCTACTCCTGTCCTCACTGGATTTGTGGGGACCGGGCCCGGAGGGGGCGGGGGCATGCGTCGCTTGAGAGGGAGGGCGGTGGGCCCTGAGGAGAGTCCCCAGAGTTGCTCTGAAGCGGCTAAGCTCCATTCGTCCCTTCCACACAGGTTTCCTGGCTGCCTCTTACATACCAGCCCTGGGGTCATGGCAGTAAGGAAGCAGATATGTCCCAGACATGAACACTGGTTCGCACTGGACGCCTGTGTTGGGGCCACATGTCATCTCATTCATCCAGCACTTCTCAGGCATCTTCTGTATGCCAGGCACTGGCTGGGTGCTGGGTCAAGCAGTGAAAAAGACAGATGGTCCTGGCCCTGGCCAGTGTGGCTCAGTTGGTCGGACATCGTCCTTAAAAATGAAAGGTCACAGGTTCGATTCCCGGTCGCTCAGGGCACACGCCTTGGTAGCAGGTTCAGTCCTCAGTTGGGGCTCTTCTGGGAAGCAATCGATAGATGTTTCTCTTTTACATGATCTTCTCCCTCTCCCTCTCCCACTCTTCCTCTCTCTCTAAAATCAATAAAAGAAAAAAAAATATTCTTAGGACAGATGGTCCCAGTGCAGAGCAGACAAGCAGCAAAAAAATGAAGCAAGATGTTGTGAGCTTAGGATCACTGCCCCTGCCCTGCGTGAGAGAGACACTCTGGGGACGAGCTGCGTCCCTGTAAAGAGGGTGGCATGAAGTGACCATAACCCTGCAGGGTTAATATTTATCCCCATTTTACATGGAAAAGACAATCAACTGAAGCTCAGAGAAGTGAAGTTGCCTGACCAAGTAAGCAAGCTCCAGATTCCAAGCTTAGGTGTGGCCCTTTCATTCCATGAATATAGTACGTACTATTGAGTGCTATATTAATTTTTTTAAATTTAATAATGAAGTTTATTTGACCCTATCTATCAAAATAGTAGTGGGCAAAAGTAGGTTTACAGTTGTAAGTACACCAGTTTATTCTTGTATTATTATTTATTAATCATTGAATTGTTTATATTGCATTATTTATTATTTTTAATTATTATTTTAAAGATTTTATTTATTTATTGTTAAAAAGATTTTGATTATTTATTTTTAGAGAGAGGAGAAGAGGATGAAAAAGAGAGGGAGAGGGAGAGAAACATCGGTGTGAGAGAGAAACACCAATCCGTCGCCCCGCACACACCTCCAACCAGGGTCCTGGCCTGCACCCCAGGCAGGTGCCATGACTAGGTTTTGAACCTTCAACCTTTTGGTCCACAGGTCGGCACTTAGCCCACTGAGCCACACCAGCCAGGAGAGATTTTATTTATTTCTTAGAGAGAGGGGAAGGGAAGGAGAGAAACATCGACCCGTTGCCCCTCGCGTGGCCCCAACCGGGGGACCTGGCCCTCAACTCAGGGGGGTGCCCCAACCAGGAATTAACCAGTAACCTTTGGGTTCACTGGCCGATGATCAATTGATTGAACCACACCACCAGGGCTATTTATTATTATTATTTTAAGTATATTTTACTGATTATAGTATTACAGTTGTCCCAATTTTATTCCTTTGCCCCCCCTCTGCCCAGTGCCTCTCTTCCCTCTAGCAATCCATGGGTCAGTTCATGTCCATGGGTTGTGTGTGTAAGTTCTTTGG